CCAAACTCATGCGCAGGCGTGTGCTCTTCCTGGACTGTGTGTCTCCATCGTGGACTCTTGTTCTTCTGGCAATACCCACCTCAGGTGTCTCTCAGATAGGCTCCTCCAGGACTGTTCGGAGGGACCTCTAACAAAGCCTTTATCACACCAGGTTCTACCAGTAATGACCTCTATCAGTCTCTCTCCCCAGCCCGACTGAAAGGCCTTGAGGGCAGGGACCTTCATCCCTAGTACCTGGAACAGCAGCTGACAATTAGTAGATGGCTGCTGAACAAATGTTAGAGGAGGGACTGAATTAGCTGATGCAAGATTTGGTGGTAAGAACTGGAAATTAGAAAAAGATGGTGTCTGAGTTTAGTCCTTAAGTCTTTCAACCCAATGTCCTTCATATATTCTCCACGTCTTCAGATGTTCTGAACCGTTTTTTTCAGACTAAAGATATCAAGGTACCTTCTGAAGCAAGATAAAATAATTTTCATGACAGCTTTACCTGCTGAAGACTACAGCCCGAAGTTTCTCTGTATATTCTCACACCTTTCCCCTCTCCTACTTTAGATGTCAAAATCCTACTTTTCCTTTAGTGTTTATTCAAATGCCACCCTGTCGTTGAAGCCATCCCACCCTCCTCTGGACTCCTAAGCATTCTACTCACATTTCAGGGACTCTCTTTACCCTGCCCAGTGATGGTGTGACCATCTCCTCCCATACTTCACTAGGCACAGTATGGCAATATGTCAATGGTATATCCCAGGGGTTGAGCATATGAGCATTCACTGTAAAAACAACTTTCCTATAAGTCTGAATGTTTTCATTATGACAAGTTAGAGAAAAGTGACATCAGAGATCTGTGCTGATACATAGTGCTGTGATTAACATAGTGCAAAAAATCACTTCCCCCCCCAAAAAAAACAACAAAAAAATCCACACAGTTTTGAGGCTTTAAATGAGATACTTAGAACAAATCAGTTGCTGTAGTGTTTTGCAGCAATGGGTGTTTTATATACAAAGTGCCTAGCACTGTGTTGCCAAAGATAGGTACATAATAAATTATATTTCTATCCAGAACCCTTGTGAAGCTCAAAATGACTTATTCCCATCTACATTAATAAAAGAGAAATATGTAAATTGACCATCACTTTACAATGCCCACCAGCCAATCAGGAGTGAGTATGCAAATTAACCCGAAGGGAAAAAAAGGTGGTGGTGGCCCTGTCCCCCAGCCGCTCTGGGCCTCTGGGCAGCATGCATGCAGGTGCAGAGTGGCTGAGTCGGGTGGGATGCCTGCTATGAGGGGAAGGGTGGAGGGTGGTGAGCTACAGGAGCAGCGCTCTGGCTGGAGCAAAGACTGAAGGCAGTGGCCAAAGCAAAGGCCTGGGTCCTTGGTGCTGGAGAAAAACCAGTGCCAGCAGCCAGGGAAGGCAAGCCTGTTGCATGAATCTTCATGCAACAGGCCTCTAGTAGAATCATTAACCCCTGGCCATCAGCATATATTTATTAAGCTTGTAGTGCATAACCAACATACTGAGGTGCCATGGATATTCAGAAGTCAAGCCTAGGTTCTCCCAACCAAGACTACTGACTGAAGACATAAAACAACCTATTTGAAAAGTAGGATTATTAGACTGTATCTCTAGACCTTTTTCCCCCCCAAGAGGGTCAATTCAGGGAAAAAGAATACAATTTTTAAAGGATGACAAAACTTTGCAATGTGTGTATATACAATTTTGTTTTATAAGATAGAAAGTTGTTAATAAGGATATTATTATAGCTCCTAAAATGTTATTATCTGTGTATACACGTCTCAGAGGAAGTAACTGCACAGAAGAAACTTTATCACCATCCATTAGCGCTTTGATGAGCTGCTGCTCTGATGTAGCGGTCCCTAAGGGCTCTCTGAATTCAATTATATACTCTACCCTTTCTTGAAGAAAAGTGCTTTTAGTGGAAAAAGAACTTGGATTTAAATAACACTGAATCACACCACTTTTCAGTCCTTATGAATCCTCTGGATTATGCCAAGCAGAAAGTCTCTGTGTGGTGCCAGGATGTCTTTAACACCTCTCCCTGTTTAACAAAGGGACCAAGCCTCCAGCTCACAGCCGTGGCAAGTAACAACCTCAAGCGAGATTTTACCTGTCATTTTATTTTCCTTTGTATCTTATTTGTACAACCGCCTTCTATTTATGGCAACTGATACTGTTTTTCCACATCCTAACAGGACATGAAATTCCCTTTCTAAACATTTTTTTCCCCCAAAATAAAAAAGATGGACTGCTTGAAAGACAAAAAAGTAAGCGAGACTATAGGCAGTATAACAGAACTATAAAGGTGGTACAGGAAAGGTGAATGGTTGAGAAATACAAATCTATGCCAATCTTACCATTTCACAGATGAGCAAACTGTGGTCTAGCCCTTTCCAAGATCCCACAGGAAGTCAGTGACTGACTGGGCTTTGAACTCATGTCTCCTGGTGCACTGTCCTATGCTCTTTCAGGACGTTAACATTTATTTGGCTTCTATCTCCGGTCCTCACACTCAAGCAAGCTATGGGGCAGGACAAGCCGGAGGAGGAACTGCCTCTCGCCCCTGTTCCAACCTGAAGCACCCCTGTCTGAAATCAGCAGCCCCCCCTCCACTCAATTCTCAAAGCTCTCATTCAGGCAAAGCAGCAGTGGGGCCCCCACCCCCTTGGCAGTCCCTTTGTGCCTCTCAACTTGATGTGTCTGAAACCTCCCTTGCCCAGACCTGTCCCAGCCCAAAGCAGGGATTTTTCTCCCCCTCTGCTTCCATCTGTTTCATGAAGCAAAACGGAAGAAAGCTTTGCTCACTGATGGATGTCTAAGAAGATGTGGTTCCTGCAATGGGAGATTTATCCCAGCCAGCCTGGCCTTTGGTGAAATGGTATCAGAGTGGGGGACAGTGCTTTGGAAATTCAGAGCCTGACCGTTAGGATACTCAACCAAAGCCCCAGGCTGTAGCATCAAATGTGAGACACGCAGGGGAAGCACTTAGCACAGTGATCACACAGTAAACAATCAAGATAAGGTAATATTAACGTTTTCTGGGGTATTTTATTCCCTTATTGTCATGTTACTTTGGGTGATGACATCTTCTTGCTTGTTTGTTTAGACAAATTACAGATCAAGACATCAGGGCCTTTGCATATGGCCAATGTCTGTGCAGAGCACAACCCCAGAGGGCACCACCATATACCGACTAAAGGGTGCATGTGACCCAAGGTTGCACAGTGTGCTGCGTGCACAGTCAGCCTTGGCATCCTGCAGCATAATTCACTGCAAATTCCTGACGGAATCAGGAAATCTTAGTCCTAGCACAGATTTCTCCACTTAATGGCTGAGAAACCCTTGGCAAGTCCCTTTCCTTCTCTGTGCCTCTGTTTTCACCTCCGTAACAGGACCAAATGCTGCCTGAAGGTCCCCTACCGACATACAATTCTGTGATTCTACAGCAGATTTCAATTTCTGAAGAGCTGTCACACAAAAGAGGAAACGGGCTCACCTGCCTGGCTCGGAAGGGAAGAGCCAGCATGAGTGAGGTAGGGATATTAGAAGGAGACAGTTTTTGCCTCAGTCAGAAAGAAAAACGTAATCAGAGTAACCTGGCAACAGAAAAGGCAGCTCTGGAAGGTAGTGAGCTCCCTGTAGCTTGTGGAATTTTAAGTAGAAACTGGGTTAAGAGACAAACCTGTTAGAAGTGGGAGGCTTGACCGTACACCCTTCGAGATGCTTTCCAGCACAGAGATTTTATGATTTCAAAACTTGGTTCTATTTCTATTAATGCTAAGAGGCACTCAGCTGAGGTTGGGTGTCATCAAACCCTGCTGATAATCATCAATGAAATGATCTTGGCAGCTCAGTGCCTCTTGCCCTCTAAGAGTTCCCACACATCCACATGTCCAAACTGAATTTGGTCCCGCCAGCGGTGCTGGGATTCACCTCTGTCCCAGCAAACAAACCTTTTCATACTAGAAAGAACTAATTAATAACAGTCTTGCCCAGGCCTGGGGTAGGGAGAAGATAGAGCCAGCATGGGGAACCATGTGAAAAACACTCAAGAGAATAAACCATAGAAACACGTCTAGCATCTATACTCTAGCAACAGCGAATGCTAATTGCAAGTCATTCTTATCTATTCATTACTGCAAGTCCCCTAGGAAATCCTAGCAGCAACAGCTGGGTGGGACTGGGCTAAGTTATTGCACACAAGAGGAAAGGATCAGGATTTCTTTAAAATCACAACCATTTTGGCTTTTCATTAATTCAGATCAGGTAGCCCCAAAAGAATCTAACTGGTTGAGAGTGAGTTGCATCGCCCTTAGGTTGTATCCATTATGGACAAGGAACAGCGAGATTTGGCAATTATTTACCTGGGATGATCAAGAAGGGCATTCAGTCAGTCTTGGGGCGGGGTCAGGAAAACCCCCATTTCAGTGTTTCACTCTCACTTCCAAGGTGAACAAGTCCAAAATAAAAATTTTTTTTAAAAAATCCGCTTGGATATACCTCTTAAAGGCTTCTATTCAGAAATTTAGCTCAGGGCACCCTTGGCTTTTTAAACAATTTAAATAACCTTTTCTAGTTCCCTTCAATAGAGTGTACATTTACACAATAAAAAGGTATCAATCTCAGTTTAGGGTATTTTCCTGATGGTGAAAGGTATTTAGTCTGGCAAGATTCCAGCACCTTCTCTTCGGTGACTTTCCCAGAGAGAGGAGCAGCAAAGCCATCTACCTCGACCAGAAATCTCCCACAAGTATTGCAACTACGCATGCTCACATCTGTACTGAACTTAGCCTTGTAGTTCACACTTCCACAACGGATGACCCTTATCTGATCTTCTCAGACACTCTGCCGGGAGGCGGCATGAGTCCCATTTCACAGATGACGTGAACTGAGATCTCAGGGAGGTAAACACCACGCATCCGGAGCCACTGGGACAGTTGCTCCTGCTGACCAGCATAGGAAAGGGGCTCACGGTACCTCTCTGCCTCCTGCTCCGCGCTCTGCTGCCTGCTCTCGAAGGCGTTGAAGCTGCTCATGTCCACGTAGCCGTCGTTTTCGTTCGCCGTCGACAGGGCTCGGCTCTGGTCCTCAAACAGCTTTGTGAACGTCCCCGCCCTCGCAGGCCTCCGGGGCGGGATCTGGATGTTCTCGTAGTCCGAGTTCACGGCCGGGATGTTCTCGTAGTCGGAAGTGTCGGCGTTGGGAAACGAGATGGACCGGGGCTTGGTCAGGGGCAGGGGCAGGAAGGGGGGCCGGGAGCGGTCTTCGAAGGACTCCACGCGGGACACGGTCCTGCTGAAGGGGATGCCCTTCCTCTTGCCGTCCCGGTAGAAGATGAGGGAGGAGGGCGACTCGGACGCCCTGAGCTTGCCGGTCCGGGTCTTGAGCTGAGGGGAGTTGCTGAGGCTCCTGCGGTCCATCTCCAGGAGCCGGGACGGCCCGTGGTAGCTGGACTCCGAGGACGACCTGGAGGAGGACACGTTGACCTCCACGTGGTGCGCTTTGTTCTCGGTCTTCTTCTTAAACGTCAGCGCCAGGAACCGCTTGAAGGACGACTTCTTCTTCTTGCCGTGCTTGTCGGGGGGCTCGCTCTCGATCAGGAGGGAGGGGGAGCTCTTGGTGATGGGCTTCTTGGTGATGCAGGCCAGGTCGAACGGCGGCGGGATGTCCACCACGGAAGACGGCGTTGACGTGCCGCTGGACGGAAGGCGGTTCCTCTGGGAGAAGCTCCCCGAGGAGCCGATCACGCAGGGCAGGGAGAGGTTGTCCTCTTTCCTCTTGATTCGAAGGTCGTCTAAGCCGGATGCCTCCGGCTCCCGGTACACGGAGACCGGGATCTCTCGGCCTTCCACGGAGAACGAACGAGGGTACAGAGTGAAGGCTCTGGGCTTCGCTGGCAAGGCCCTGCTGGCTTCCAGCGGCGGCTTCCCCTCCAGCGACAGGACCATCTTTCTTGCCTCCTCGGTGGCACCTCCGACGCCAGTGGCCGACGGCGAGACAGCTTCCGGTCCGGCTTCTTCGGGGACGGTTTCTGGGACGTAGCCGGGCACTTTCCCGGAGTGGGGCCTGGCCCTTGCGAGGATGTTCTTTCTGTCTGTGGGGACCAGGCCGCCCTCCGCGTCGGAGTTCTCTTCTTCTTTGGAGCCGTAACCCCCGAGGCCATCGGAGGCGGCCTGTGTCTCGGGCTGTTCTCCCTCTCCGGGGTCGGTTCCGCACGCCACGTCCTCTCCCAGCTCGTAGGGGCTGGCGAGTGCGTCGTCGGTGGTGTCCTCGTCCACCGGCAAGACCAGTACGTCGGGGGCGGAGAGGCCCTCCCCAGGGCCGTCCTGCAGGGAGCCGTGCTGGCCACACAAAGTTCCGGCCACGGTGTCCTGGCCTGCACATTCCCCTGACTTGGATTCCTGCTCTGACTCGGAGCCTTTTGCTGACTCGGGAAAAGAGGAGTAGCTCTCACTACAGAAGGAGGTGCTCTCTGTAGGGAAGAACTCGTAGGGACTTCCCGAGAGTGAAGCCACAAAGTCGCCCATGCAGTCGTTCTCGAAAGGAATGATCTGGCAGCTCTCCTCCGCGGACTCGTCCTGCACGGGGTCCTCGCTCTCCGGAACGTCTCCCCTCGCCTCTTGGGTGACGGCTGCCACTTCCTCGCGGTCAGTTTTCCCACCTTGGTCAGGGGGCTCATCCTGGTCATCCCGGCTGCCCCCGCGTGTGGCATCTTCACGCTCCTCCTCGGAGACGTCAGGGTTGTCGGTGACGATCTCTGCCTCCTGGGTGCCCGAGGCCAATCCCTCGTCCTCCAGGGCCTCCTCACTGGTATCTTCAGCACCCTCCTCAGTGGGCCTGTCAGGTTCCCCATACTCCTCTGCCAGCCCTGGCTCTGTCTCGGCGCAGCCTTCCTCACCCTCCTCCTCTGCCTCCCTGGGTGTCCCAGGAGACCCAGGCTCCCTGCCAGGCGATTCCGGGTCCTCTAAATCAACCTGAGTTAGAATGATATCGCTCGAAAAGACTGCCTCTCCATCCCAAGGGCCCCGATCCTCCAGGTTGTACATGCTGTGTTCCTCCACCAGCTTCTCTTCCTCCTCACTTGAGAGCTTCCGCTCCTCCTCCTCCCCTGGGTCCTGGGCACTGTCCTCAGCCCCCACCTTCTCAGGAACGGGGGCTACGCCGTCATCAGCCTCTCCAGCCACTTCTTCAGCAGCTCCTGCCCCCTCCTCCTCCTCCTCCTCCTCCTCCTCCTCCTCCTCCTCGCCTTCCTCCTGGGGTTCCTCTTCCCCGGTGGCATCCGGAGGCACCATGACTGCGTTCTCCACAGAGTCCCCATCCCTGGGTTCGTCCTCGCTGGGTGGAGCCCTGGGGACGACGATGTAATCTTCATCAGCCTCGGCCTCGGAGCACTCCAGGTTGGACTGCGGCTCTTCGTAGAGTCCCCTGTCTACACAGAGCAGCTTCCCGTTGCTGCATTTGTTCAAGCTGTTGATCATGTACACGCTGGCCCTCCACTCATTGGGGGTGTCCAGCCTTGGCTTAGGGGCGATGGGGGGTTTCGGCCCCCTCGACATGGAGTTGGGACTGTGAAGACTGTCCGGCCTGGATGACGAAGGGAATTTGGGTGCAGTCACTGGTGTGAGGGGACCGGCATTCTTTGGCTTGGGAGCAACTGGTGGTTTTGGTGAATCTAAAGGATGAAAATAGAGAAAAGAAGGAGACAAAAAGTACAATTACCTTTATGTCCACTCCCACTTATTATTTTTTAAAAGAACACTGAAGATGGTTTCCCAACGGCCCATGTGAACCCAATCTACTGTGTTTTGCCTTAGGTTTATTCCTCTATATTATCTTTAAAATCCCTTGACCTTCCACTAAAAATTCATTCTGAAAACAAGGCGACTAGACCTTTCTTCTATATACACTCCAGCTAACAAAACCCATCTGAATGGCATCTTGTACTCCTCAAGTAAAGGTGTGCAGATCACTGAGCTCATTCATTCAACAACTATTTATTAAACACTTTTTTTGGTGCCAGGTACCCAGGAGACAATATTGAACTTGACAGTCACCATCCCTGCTGCCCTGATGGAGCTTCCATTGATTCTACAAATAATTCATTGGATACCTGTATCTCTTCCCATAGCACTATAGATAGTAGGGTCTTCTAGGGTCAAGAAAAGAAGGGCACTGCCCAGCCGGTGTGGCTCAGTGGTTGAGCATCGACCTATGAACCAGAAGGTCACAGTTCAATTCCTGGTCAGGGCATATGCCAGGGTTGTGGGTTTGATCCCCAGTTGGGGCATGCAGGAGGCAGCCGATCAATGATTCTATCTCCTCATTGATGTTTCTATCTCTCTCTCCCTCTTCCTTACTCTGTGAATCAATAAAAAAAAAATTTTTTTTTAAAAAAGAATAAGAGGAGCCGAAACCGGTTTGGCTCAATGGATAGAGCTTCGACTTAGGGACTGAAGGGTCCCAGGTTCGATTCCAGTCAAGGGCATGTACCTTGGTTGCAGGCATATCCCCAGTAGGGGGTGTGCAAGAGGCAGCTGATCGATGACTCTCTCTCATCGATGTTTCAAACTCTCTATCTCTCTCCCTTCCTCTCTGTACAAAATCAATAAAATATATATTTTTTATAAAATAAAAGAATAAGAGAACACCTCTGCTGACTACTCAGAGTTGAGTCTGAGAGAGAAGACTAACAGAACAATTGAAGGACAGAGCTGTACACTCTTGGAATATTATAACTGAATAGCCACTATCTCATTCCCTCAAGAATGACACATCAAAGGCTTGTGACAGTGATATATGATTCTCTTGAGGGTCACCTCTGAATTCTACATGGTGTAGACATGGTGTCCAGCTAGGTGGCCTGCATCCAAACTTTACAGCATCCAATTTTCATAGGAGAAATGATATGGCATTTGACAACATGGATGTTTGCAAAGGGCCTCTTCCCTTGTGCATGGCGAGGATCTATTAACCACGGCAGAATAAAAGATGTGGTACAAACTGTACACGCAGCAGGAGTTTGAGAACCAAGAGTTACTATGGTTAGGGAAGGCCTCTTGGAGAATGAGACATTTCAGCTAAATTTTGTAGGCTGGAAGGGACCTGGACAAGTGTAGCGTCAAGGGAGTAGTCACCGACTCCCAAGTTCAGCATCTCTCCTGCCACAAGCCAGCCCACACCTCCATGCCTCTTGCTGAACCTCTGAGCTCCTGGGCATACTTCAGTCAAAGTGAGGAAGGCAGATTTCCAGGAACACAAGCCCATCAAAATCCATCAAGTCAAAAGCACTGCCTGACTCCCCACTGCCCATGGATTAGGATGTGTAAGTCTCGCTTCAGCCCAGTCTCACCTCCCAGTTCCATCCCCACTAAGCCCAGTCTCACCTCCCAGTTCCATCCCCACTAAGCCCTGTCTCACCTCCCAGTTCCATCCCCACTAAGCCCTGTCTCACCTCCCAGTTCCATCCCCACTAAGCCCAGTCTCACCTCCCAGTTCCATCCCCACTAAGGCGTGGGTTTGAAGCAGAGCAGCTTCAGAATGCCAGGTTTGCTTGTGACAGAAAGAAGGTGGAGCAGAGAGCCTGGAGGTCATACCCATTCTGCAGATGAGGGGATTCTCTTCTCCTCCCCAACACGTGACTCCCAGGTCACATGGGAGCATCTAACTCCACTTGAAGCATCTAACTCCATTCGAATCTAACCCAGGGCTATCTGACAGAAATGTAATGTAAGCCACATTTACATTCACGCATATAATTTTTTATTCTCTTATAGCCACATTAAAAAGTAAAAAAGAAACAGGTGAATTAATTTTTGCAATTTTCATATACTGAGTTTTTTTTAACTCAATATATCAAAAATATTATTTTGAATACCATCATGTATTCAGTGAATCATGTTTGGATCAACATGTAATCAATATACAAAATTTATTAATGAGATAACTGACATTCTTTCTTGAACTAAGCCTATTTTACACATACATCATATCACAACTCAGACCAGCCACAATTCAAGTGATCAGTTGCCACATGAGGCCAGTGGCTATGGCCTTGGTCAGCACAGCTCTGACTTGAGACATCTCCATGGGACTGTCCTATTGTCACCTCAATTTCAAGGTATCAGACTGGCAGGACTATGTTAAATCCAGCGGAGGCCCCAGAGGAAAAAAAAAGGCCTGGAGTCATAATAATACAGGGTTATAAAGCCCATGCATTCTGTCCCTAAAAGGGTTTCATTTCAGAGCCTCTTTGCTTATACTTGCACATGCATCTAATGAACTTGGTTATCTGGCTTCCCAATGCACAGGTAGTTAGAAGGTGTATGGGAGGAAGTTAGAGCGGGAACACTGCAGACTGTGAGAGAGAAAAGAGGCACAGCTGTCAACGGACCCCGTGCTAACGTCCCCATAACATCAACCTCTTAAGCCATATCTATAATACATTCGTTTGCATCAATGCCCAGGCTTTCCACTGTCATCCAGAAAACCCAGAGTCTTCAAGATGTACTATGTGATTTCCCAACTCCTTGTTAACGTAAGCAATCAAGTATACCCTCCTTTAGAAAAAAATATATGTCCACATTAGGAAAAACAGTAACCACCACCCAAATTTGGAGCTTAAACAGCTAAGTTCAATGTTACAGAGTAAGCCTGTGGAGCCTGGCTGGTCTCGTTTCAAAATTTGGCTTTGCCACTTATAAGCTGTGAAATTGAGCCTCAATTCCCTCATCTGCAGAATGGGTACAACAGTAGCACCTACACTGAAAGGGTTGCTGTGAAGATTAAAAGACACATATTAAAAGTGCTCAGTAGAGGCATTCACACAGGGGCATTCAATAAACAGTAGCTACTATTGTTCTAATGAAGTCAGTCTTTGCCTGTCCCATAACTTCCCCTGGAATAAGTCTTGCTCTATACTGCTGTAGAGTGTTATGTAATATTAGCTCCACACGCTCAACATCAAGTGTTAGGCACTGGTGTGAAATTATTCTTTGGGGGCAGGGACTCTCATTTCTCATCCTTAACAGGTGGTATTTCACATGAGCGCCATGAGACCTGACAGAGGGACAGAAAGGCCTTGAAAAATGACCAAAACCGAAGCTGCTTCACCCCCCCACCCCCACCCCATCCTTCATCCAATCAAGCTATTGATCTGTGGGTGCCGTCTCCTCAGGAAAGGTTATAGTGGGCATCTGAGGCGTGATCCTGCAAGAAAATGCCTTCCCCATCTAGCCCCTAGGAATGACAAGGATGTAGTGTCCATGCCCTGCTTCTAGCTCTGAGATCAAAGAATGCCAGAACCGGAAAGGCCTTGTCTGATCCCTCACTGAAAGATGAGGAAACTGAGGCACAGAGAGGGCAGGTGACTGACGTAGAGCTACTAGGCAAATCTGGAGCAGGGCTCAGACAGAATGTGGGTTTCCTGCTGCGGTCTCTTGAATCTCTGCCTTGACCCTCTGCCACAGAGCATTTCTTCTACAAGGCTCCCAGCTTCTAGTGAGGTAGAGAAAAGAAAAGAAAAGAAAAAAAAAAAAGCAGGGAAATTGAGGCTAAAGAGATCAGGAACAACTAGCCAGGTAAAAAATTTACATAAGCCCGAGTCCAGAGCTCAGAAATACTAACTGGCCACAGGGTGAATGACTTTCAGTTGCTCCCATCCAATTTCCTTGAATCCAATCCCATCTAGAATCTTTGAACACATCAATAAACAAAACAAAAACCCTGTCTTTGATGGACCTGATCTTCTAATGGTGGGATATAAGCAAATAAAATGAGTATCTTACGTGTTTTATGTTAGATGACCATAAAATCTGTGGGAAAAGATTAGGAGTTGAGGGTTTTTACAGTTTTAAGTAGAGTGACTAGGATAGATCTCACTGAGAAGACATTACAGAAAAGACTTGAAAGAAGTAAGGGAAGCCAGGACTCACCGGACATGCTCAAAAAGGCCAGAGTCACTGGAGGAGAGTGAGCAAGAGAAAGAGAGAAGCAGGAGATGAGGTCAGAGGGGCCTGGGAAGGAGGGTGTGGATTATGCAGGGCCTTGAGAAGAAGGACACGCTCACTCTTGCTAATATACTGAACTAAATGGAAGTGGTGAGGATGGACGCAGGGAGACCCATGAAGAAGTTCTTGCAATAATCCAGGCAAGAGGTGACGGAGCAGGTTAGTGGCAGTGAAAGTGGTCCAAAAGAGTCAGATTCCAAATAAGAACGTATCACTGGCAGGACATGCTGACAATCTGGATACTGTGTGTAAGAGAAACAGAGAAGTCAAGGACACCACCAAGGTTTTGAAGTCAGAGCAACTGGGAAAATGAAATTGCTTCCAACTGAGCCGGATAAGCCTGCATGTGCTGGGGGTGGGGGTGGGGGGAGCAGAATTTCAGTTTGCACATGTTAGATCAGAGCTACCTTTCACACACCACAGTGGGGCCCTGGGTATTCCAGGCTGGGTCCTGGGAGAAGTCTGGCTGGAGGATTCCATCAGAGATGGAAGTCAAGGCATGAACCCAGTGAGGTCACCAGGTGAAGAAGCATGGACTGAGAGAAGAGCGAGACCAAGGAGGGAGAGAGAAGGAGTCAGCCAAGGAGACAGACAGGGGAGGAAGCGAAAAAATGAAGGGGGTGTGAGGGCTTCCAGCTTTGCTCCCTCTCTGCCTCCCTCCCAAAAGGGAACCAGAGTCCCTGCCCTCAGTACAAAGTTATCTGGGTCTCAGATGCCCTCTGCCTGGGGAAGGCTCAGGGAAGAGGTGGCACCAGGGTGCATGGTGAAGAACAGGGAAGATTTTACAATTGAAAAGGAGATTAAGTATCCCAGAGTGTGAAGAGGCCCAGAGGCAGTAAGATGCAAAGACCTTTGGGAGTATGGTAAAAAGCCCAGTTTGGCTGAGCTTGGACATGGTGGGGGCAGGAGAATTACAGGATAAATCAGAGCTGGGGGTCCCTCCTCTGGTTACATCTCACTTTCTGACGGCCCAGAACACAGCATGGAGGGAGCTGGTGGTCCTCTGCTGTCTCCGGAATCCTCCTGGCTACTGTCTGAACCCCCTGGTCTTGTATTACAGGGTCTGGGAGTTACGACCTCCCCAGCCGGAGTCAATGCCCAAGGACCTCCTGGCAATTCGCTAGACCTGAGGATGACGCGAATACCCTTCAAGCCAAGATGCCAAGAGTTAACTGGGAGTAGGAGAACCTCAGTGACAGGAGGAAGAGATTTTTAACAGCGACGGGTGATAGAAATCATCCCCAGCCAGCTCTCGGTACCAGTTTATATTTTCTTTCTTTATTTTAATTAAATATCTGTCACTCACACATTCATGCTTACTGCTCCCTTGTCAGCAACACAGAGGTTCAATTAGAAGGTGTACTGGAAGGAGTGCTGGACTGGGAGTCGAGCGCTCTGATCTCCCGCTCCTGGCTCTGCCCTTAATGGGAGGTGTGACCTTGGGCAGGCCCTTCTCCTCCTCCCTGAGCCTCAGTTTTCCCAGCTACGAAGTGAGGTGGCCTGCACCAGTCAGTAAGTGCCTTCTGCTCTGGCTGACTGCAGACTATTAAACTCATGGCTCTTCTTATGACGTCCCCTGACATCCGCGTCTTTAGTCCCTGAGCCTGTTTCAATTGCATTGCACTATACTCCCCCTGGAACTCTCATAACCATATGTTCCAAGAGTAATTATCTTCCAATTTCACCTTCCAATTGCATCTTAATTTAACTTTCATTCCTGGGTGCCTGCCGGAATGTCCACGCCAAGCCTGATGATTTCTAATTAAGGCGCTATTACGCCAGTCCAGTGATCCACAACTGGGCTCATGTGGGGAAACAGCATGGGACAGAGGTGGATGGGCTTGGGCCCCAGGCTCAGAGAGGGCTGGACTTCAGTCCCAGCTCTGCCGCACAGCAGCTGTGTGATCTTGGCCACATCACTTTGCTTCTCTGAGCCTCAGTTTCTTTCTTGGTAACATGAAAGAAATACCCCCTTTTTTCTCTTAAGGCTTTTGAGAAGTTCAAGGGAAATAACAGACATAAGATGACTAATAAAGTCAACTGGCAAACATTTCCTGTGTACCTACTATGTTAGGCACTAGATAAAAAAAAGAAAAAAGCAGACTCTCAAGCTGGACAGTCTGTGTTTCAATCCTATCTTGGTCTCACATTAAGTCAGTCACCATGTAATCCCTGCAGCTCAGTTTTCCTAACTATGCAATGAAAGATAGCAATAGTGCTCAGCGCATCAGGTCAATATGGAAACCACACTCATACAAGGAAAACACTTAAAACAGTACCTGATTCACAGTAAGTACCCAATAAATATTAGGTAGTGAAAATTAGTCACTTATAATGTGACGGATGCCACAGGCACCTTACAGGCTTTACTTTTTTGAAACACGAGGACTCAATGACAAACATCTTTTTATCCCAGTTTTTCAGATGAAGTAACCTGCTCAGGGTCACATAACTAAGGCTATGCCGGTCCTGAGAGTCAGTCCCCGGGAATCTATGAACCACTGTGGTGCACCGCACACAGAAATCATTCTGTGAGGTTTCTATTGTTGCCGTCACACAGTGGCAACTGCTAAGAATTACTGGGACCACACAGGCCTCTTGGTTTGTTTGGGCTCACTCCATCCCCCCAGATTCTCAGAGAAGGGAGAGCTCGTCCAGGCCTCATGCAGGGAAACATGGGAAAACTGGAACGGCTCTCACCATTGTTTTAAAGCGGGTTTTATTAGGAGTGTAGGGGAAAGCCAGCCTAGCTCTGTCCAGGCTGCACCTGGCAGGAGGCGACCTTCTTCCTCCAAGGAGTGGCTGGCTGGGCACGGGGACCCTTCTCCAACCTTTCCCAGTCCCACAAAGTGGTACACCTGCTCCTGCCTCCCCTCACCATCCTGTGACCCACACTCTGTCCAGGCGTTCATATGGTCAGCAACAACAGGACCTGGACACTGGGAGGCGGCTGGGGCACTCCCAACTCTGCAACTGGGTCCTTTTTCAGGTCAGTCCCGCCAATGTCTCCTGTCTGCATCTCACTGCTAAGACAATGACTTTTTTTTTTTTTTTCATTTTCAAGATTTTAAAAGAAAACACACACACACACACACACACACACCACCACCACCTCCACCACCACCGCCACCACCACCGCCACCACCAGCAGCAGCAGCAGCAGCAGGATATATGGTTCTAAGACAGCCAAAATGGTGGCTTCCTGTTTCTTTAGGGATGTCTGTTTTGGAGTATGGCTCCAGGCACGGATGTTGGCTTGGGGAGAGGGCTGCCTTTTGCTTAAATCTGAGCGAGAAAGATTGACCATCGCTCCTTGGCGGGAGGATGAAGCAAGTTCGCTGGGGCTGTTCCCTCGCAAACTCTCCTCTTTGGGGGAACTTTCTGCCTTCCTTGTGGACAAGAGTCCCGGGATCTAGCTTCCAGGCACCGCCCATCTCTGAGTCTCAGTCGCTGAATCTGTTAAATGGCATCCCTCTGGGGAGATCACCAATATCTACCGTCCAATGCTCTCTGGATCGCACGGAATCCCCATCCCCGACCTGGAGAGGCGGATTCCCGGGGCAGAGGCCCGAGGGGAGGGAGGGGACTCAGCCAGGACCGGGAGCGTTTGGTCCCCTGGGGGAGGCACAAAGGCCAGCCCGGGCGCTGCCCGGGAGGGGGGTGCTATGGGGGAAAGGGGAGATGATTTAGGGCTTTTTAATCCTATCCGGAGAGTAAGCTCCAAGTCTGGGTCTGGAGGGAGCGAAGGGAGCAGGAATTGCCTGAAGGGTGCGCCGCCAAGGGATGCCGGACCCGGGGTCAGGGAGAGCGTGGCCGGATCCCCCGGGCCGGGAGGAGCCCCTGAGGAGCCAGCGGGGCACGGGATCAGGGTGTAGGGGGGCAACCAAGTTGCGTCTGCGAAGGGGGCATCTTTCTCCCTCATTCGGGGGGGCGCCGCGGGAGTGGGGTGAGGGCGGACGCGGCCAGGGGAGGCCTCGCCGAGACGGAGGGGGCGGCCCTGAGGCAGGGTGACTGGGACCGGGGCCCCAGAGGACCCCCAGCCTCCCGGGCGAGGGGACCCCGGACACGCCCATGTCTCCAGGAGAGGACGACGGTCGGTCGGGGCGATTCTGGGCCGTCGTCCGGGCGCCCCACGGCGGGGCTACGACTTGGGACGCCTGGCCCGGACCCCTCATCGCGCGCGCGGACCTCGGGGGCCGGAGAGGTGGCGCGGAGCCTCCTACCTGCTCTGTTCATCTTCCGGCGCGAGGAGCGCGGCCGTCCGTCCGCCCGCCCGTCCGTCCGTGGAGCGCGAGTCCGCGCGCCGCTTCACTCCATGGCCTCGCAGCGGGTCCCGCAGCCCGCGGCGCCCGGCCCGCCCCCGGCGCTCGCCGGACTCCCTGAGGGGCGCGGGGCCAGCGGGCCGGGCAGGGGCGCGAGAGCCGGGCGCGCGAGCGAGGCGGCAGCCCGGACAGCACTGGCGTCGCGTTCAGTCGCACTCCGCCCGGCGCGGGCGGTGGGGGCGCGGGGCGGGGCCGCGGGCCGGGCGGGGAGGGGGCGCTCGCGCCGCGGGGGGTGGGGGGGGGGTCGGTGGCCGGCGTGGCGTCCGCTCCAGGCTCCGGGCTCCGGGCTCCCCGCTCCCCGCTCAGGGCTCCCCGCTCCGGGCTCCCCGCTCCCCGCTCAGGGCTCCCCGCTCCGGGCTCCCCGCTCCCCGCTCAGGGCTCCCCGCTCCGCGCCGGGCGCTGCGCTCTGGCCCCCGCGCCGCCGCCGCGCCGCCGCCCTCGCCTAGACGTTTCCTCCCGCTCGGAGAGGAAGACTTTTCCCCTCTGCTCAGTCAGGGATCGAGCGAGTGGAGGGCGCGGCGGCCCCGCGCGCATTTAAAGGGGCCGTGGCCGGGGAGCCGCGCGAGGTCCGAGGGATTAGCATCGGGGTGCGGGGAGGGGAGCTGGCGAGGTGCTCTTCTGAGGACTTCCTCCTCGTCCTTCTGCCAGGTGGACAGTCCGTCTTTATTTTTATTTATGTTTATGGACATTGATTCCGTCCTGCGCCAGACGCTGTGCTGAGTGCCCAGCCAGACAGCCCCCAATTTTATTTTATTTTTAAATCTCATGGAGCTTAGATGGGAGACAAGAAAAATGAATATCATTTCAGAAAGCGATAAGTGCCTTGAG